CGTTAAATTTTTTCTACGACCAAACCCTAATGTTATTTTTTTTATTTGTGTTTAAAGAAAAGGAACTGGCACTTTCTGGATATGCCTTTTTGGACATCCACCTGTTGTACAAAACGAAAACGAAAATAGAGTTATAACAGAAATAATCTATTGATTGCCGATAATTCCGGTATACAAAAACCGTCTTAATTTGTTTAACTGTTACAAACACATATAAATTTATATTACTATAAGTGCTAAAAAACATTAGAATACCTGAGTTGGATAAAATATCAGTCCATTAAGCGTAGGGCGGCTTAATTAGTCACATGGCAGGTACATAGTCCTTGTTCGTCATGTGTATTTTATGTATCGCGACTGATTAAAAATATCGAAGTTGTTTCACTTGTTCAATGTACTATAATAGATTAGAGGATTGTTTTATAAAACTAAAAGTTATCTATTATATCATACACACCTCTCGCCAGCCAAAACAGGGCTACATTGTACTTCTTATTATGTCACTTTCATCCACGAATCCTTAGACATAAGTATAAAAAGCAAGAAGAAAATATATAATAGGGGAAATGAAAATCGCAGTACAACTTAAAATTACTGTCACCTGAAAATGATGACATTTACACTTTTAAAATTTAACTATATATGGTTCGAACTACTGTTTTTGTTGATTATTAATACTGATCGTGGCAAAAAAAAATGCTTTTAAACTTAAATGGTAAATGCAAGGATACCACGCGATACTTCGCTGGACTTCATGCAAATGTTTGTCTGTGTGTGCCTGCACCGTGCGATTAAATATGACTAAATCGTATTACTTTCATGTTTTTATTCTTCATTTTCACGCCAACAATGTGAATCATTAAACTAGTACTGATCTGGGACTTAAAGTTTGGCCCCAGTACTGATCCAGTGTATATTTCTATCAATCAGTATGCATATACAATTCATTCGAGGTTCGGGACAAATATTATAACCGACTTTACACATGTAATTTTCACTACAATTATTGACATATATATTTTAACAAGAGTAAAAAAAATATATAAAAAATTGTAAAGGGTTCCGCGGAATCCTTTGTCTCGCCTGACATTGTTGCTGTCAGTGTAACAGTGTAATGCTAACACCCAAAAGTAAATTATTTATCAGTAAAAAACGAGAAAATAATTTTGTTTTCGTCTTCAAATACTACCTCTTGATCATGAAGAAGTTTCTGTCCAACTTTCGTTACATTCAACGAGTGTTTAACAAAGTTATTGATGTAAAACAAATAACCCCTGGACACAAGGATTTATATAGAAAGATAAATCCTTGCTAGACAGTATTTAGATGTTAACTGCAAAAAACTAAATCCATCTGTCAAGGAAAATACTGAAAAAGGACAGACGTATTTTTTTCAAAATTTTGAATCAGGTGTAATTTCTTTCGTCAAGGTTTCAAAATGTTTGAAGAAGGTTTGACAAAATAATCGATTTCTGTTCAAAAAATTTAACATCCAGACTGTATCTAAATGTTAACTGCAAAAACAATGAATCCATTTATCAGTAAAAGTTGGGAAAATGAAATATGATGCTTTCGAAATTTTGATCTGGATATTGTGGTTTGATCATGAAGAACAAATAAATTTTCCAAGTTTTGAAAAATTACACGAAGGTTTGACAAAGTAATTGGTGTCTGAAAAACTTTTACATTAGACTGTCTGCCAAAAACAAATTCATCAGTAAAATATGGGTAAAAGAGAAAGCAATTTTTTCAAAATGTTGCTCTGTATTCTGTCTTTGATCAAGTTTCATAGAATTGTAACATCAGAGTATTTAAAATAGTTATTGGTGTCTTAAAACAGCTTAAACCGAAGACTAAACCTAAATGATGACGACGCTGACGCTGACGGAGACGAAAACAACGGAATGTAGGACCGCTATATAGTCCCATCCTGGACTATCGTAGCAAGTTCAACAATAAAACACTTAATATGAAGTTTTCAAATGTGTTACATTACGTCTGTTTGAATTAAAAGCAAAATGATAATACTCAAAAAGATGACATTGTATATTGTAACCTTTATCTATATCACGCCTTCGAACATAGTTTTTAAAGGTAAATAACGACATTCAAATTAAGTTTCACATGACAACTTACAGATAGTTATATACGCACCGGTAAAACAGTGTAAGATTTTTAAAGTACTGATAGAACTTTAGATAACTTTTCAATACCTTCAATAGGTATAGTGTTTTATAAATTACAATTTGATAGATAATTTGTGTATTCAGTTTGCCATTTAAACTCATTATCACAATGTTATAACAGTAAATCTAATATACATGTTAACAACCTGTAATGTAAGTGTTACTATTCTGTTTATTTATACGGGATAATTTTGTGACAAACTGATATTAAAAAAATCCTGTTTCCGATTAGATTCACCTTAAAGTTTCGGTAAAGACACTGATACGGAGGGATATGTTCAGTGGCTAGATCAAAATGCAGATAAAAAGAGACGAGTGAATTCTTGTAAGGTAAGTCGTTGGATAGTCGGGTTTATACCTTTTATGCGAGGAAAAGACAAAGATTGCTTTACTTAGATTTAAGAAGATGTGGTATGAGTGCCAATGAGACAACTCTCCATCAAAGTCACAATTTGAAAGTGAACAATTTACTGTTTGTTTTTAGGCTGATGGGGAAGGATGCTACAGTGGTTTTTAAGACAGATCTTTGACAGTTACAGCCAAAATCTTGTAGATTTTGTCTAGACTCGGGTGGGGGTCTATATATTCATTATAGATACTTGTCTACCAATGACGACGGGGCCTTGGTGGCCCAGTGGTCTAAGAAGTTCATCTATATTGACCACAAGCCTGTCAACTATGAGGTTGTGAGTTCGAACCCCGCTCTAAGAGAGGTTTGTTCGCCTCGGATCTTAATTGACAAACGTTGCCAGATTTTCTGCAAAAGTTCTTTTGTTTTCACCGAGTATTCCTGTTTTTTACACCAATAAGAACTGGTCGCTATGAACCAAGATAGCTGAAAGTATCGTTAAACACCACTGAAGACAGTTTGTGCATATCTTGATATCTTTTGGGGTTTAACTTCCTTCTTTTTTTTTATTATTGAACGCTGTATCCATGTCTTTATTATAATCTAATTACCAAGTTCGACCATTGAGTATAATTATCTGCCCCGCTCTATATGCTCTGATTTTATGTGTGTTTTGCAGCATAAAAAAGAAGATGTGGTATGATTTGCCAATGAGAAAATTTTACACCATAGTCCAAATTACGTAGATGTAAGCAACAATAGATCACCATACAACCCTAAATAATGAGCACAATCCATACAGTATAGTTAGCACTAAAAATTCCCGTCAAGACAAAATGTTAAACAATTCAAATGACAAAACTAACAGCCTGTTTTATGTAAAAACAATAAACGAACACAAATATGACAGTCACAACCTACAACAACCACTGAATTACTGGCCCCTAAATTATAGTGCCTACGAAAAATCAGTAATCGTTCCATTTTTTAATTCTTTTTACAAAACGTGATGTTTATCTCAAGTACAAATACATTTACCTATGACTATTTACTTTTCGAACCGTTTTCGTTTTTTTATTGGGTAGTTTCTGTCAAGGACTTTGTATCGAAGTCTCAGCGTATTGTATGTTAATATTGTATTGATGATAAACGACTTGTTGAAAACCATGTCAGCAATCCGCTATCTACCATGTCAGAATTACATAGCAATATTTGGCTAAATGTCCGAAGATTTTTTTTAATGTGTCAAAGTGTTGGCACGAGGAGCTCAACCTTCTCTCCCACAACTTGAGACGTGTTAAAAGTTGTACAAAAAGCCCGCAAGATTGATCTTCAAATTAAGACATATAAATACAAATGGTTTGATTTATCTACTATCTTTCGTCATTGTGTGTAATTTTGTACAATAAGTTTAAATTAAGCGTGGAAATTTATAACGATTTCAAATTATTGATAATAGCATTGTCTATAATTAAGATGATGATTAGAAAAATAAGGACTTTATCATTTGGTGAGATTGAAACAAATTTGGTGAATTGGTGCTGTTGATTTATAAAAAAAATTATCTTTAGTGGTATTTTGTTAGATAATCACACACAAGTACCAACTATAATTGTTAAAAATTGTGTGTGGTCCTAATGTCTAGATAACTACTTTTGTGATTCTATGTTGTTAGGTTGCTATCTTATAGACTTATAGAGGTACACATAACTTCTCCCTTTTCCCCCACAAAATAAAACATATATTAATCAGGTCTATGGTTAGAGAACGACCATTTAACTTAAATGAAGGGGAAAAGGTGGTATGATTTTTTTTCGTACCACGCAATAAAATAGAGAATGGAAATGGGGAATATGTCAAAGAGACAACAACCCGACCAAAGAGCAGACAACAGCCGAAGGCCACCAATGAGTCTTCAATGCAGCGAGAAAATCCCGCACCCAGAGGTGGTCCTCAGCTGGCCCCTAACAAAAATGGTGTGCTAGTTCAGTGAAAATGGACGTCACACTAAACTCCAAAACATATAAATGAACTAAAATTAAAAAAAACATATTAAATTAAAAAGCATCAATTATTTATTAAGAAAACTTAACATTACATTTAATGGCAAAAGCTTTCAATCAAAAATTTATTTTACCCTTCTTGTTGATCAATTTTTTTTAATTCAAAGCAGAAGGAAAAAAAAACATACCCCTCCTCTTTCATAGTTGAAATTGTTTCTTCCCTTACCAAAACAGTCGACAGTTGATTGATGATAATTCTGTAAAATTTTTGATGATGTTTTCACGGTTAATGTGAACTGGGTATAATTACTACCTGTTAATGTGCAAATAACAGCAGGTACAAAGCCATGAATAGATTTAAACTATCGACGTATCTATAAATCTTTATAGCAATTGATTTGATAATTTTTTTCTATTCAATATTTATTTTACAAAAAAGAAACTCTCATTCAAACACAATTTATCTATATAGGATTACCATACTTTAGAATAGACATTTTCAATGGCAGATTCTAATAAAATAGGCATTATCGATGAATATTTCGTTCATTGCATGACTTTAAAGATTTTAAAAATCTCCAGGTGAACGTGTGGCAAAGTCTATACCTGTAATTGCAGAAAATTTTCAACATGTAACTGGCGTACTTTAATTAACACAACTTCAATAGACTGTGTATAGTCACTTCAGAAGAATTTAAAGTCGATAAGTATTTATTTTTCGGCTTTTTGAAATTGACTGTAGTTAAACAAGTAAGCTACCAGAGTACAGGAATATTGACACTAGTAAGATTGTACACTGGTAAGTAGAATACAAATAGTCTTATTATATTTTCAGCAATTTATAAGCTTTACCACACAGGAGACATAGTTGACCAGTCAAAGTACATTGTCAGTAAGTTATTAAGTTAATTATATGGTTACAATTGTACACATTTATGGACATTTGATTACTCAAGTGTTAGTTATTTTCTAAATCTTTATAAAAATAAGGATATTTGGTATAATTGCCAATGAGACAACTATCCACCAGAGAGTAAATGACATAAAAGTAACTATAGGTTACCGTGTACGGCCTTCTGCAATGAGCAAAACCCATACCGCATAGTCAGCTACAAAAGGTCTCGTTCAATATATGGTTACAATTGTAACAAGTTTGTTTTTCTACGCATTGTTAAAATGTTGTCACGCTGAGCACGTGCATTCATATACATGTATGTTGTATTTTATACGGAAATAAAATATAAATTTTGGAATGCCTCGGCCAAATCAGAATTACAGAATCGCAGATAACAATGCAGTATCATGTTTCTTGATATTCTAGTACACGTGTTTAGGAACAGTATAATGTAATTATTGGTTCAAATGATTAAATGTTAGTTTTAAATTGTCAATTATCACTGGAAGCTCTTGTCATTACTTGAAAAAAACTCTGAACATAGAGGATTAAGCATGCTTATATTATCTGCCGTCAACTTGATGTTCTTTCATGTATTACCCTTCTTGAGCTCCTGATTCACCCCGGTTTTTGCTGGGGTTCGTGTTGCTCAGTCTTTCGTTTTCTATGTTGTGTTTTATGTACTGTTGTTTGTCTTTTTCTGTTTTAGCCATGCATGGCAATGTCAGTTTATGAGTTTGAATGTCCCTTTGGTATCTTTTTATACTCTCTTTTATCAGCAGTCAACTTAATATTCTTGTATGTATTTCATGTAAGTCCACGGATTGAGATTAAAAAGGGGGAGGGTTTGGTCTCAACGGTTTGGCCTTTTCTTGTGGATAGTTTTCTTTTGTCTTGTCTTGATGTTTTTAAATTTGGGATTTTGGTGCATGTAAAAGATTTTTGTAAGTCTCTGTTTATTCAAAATTATTTAATCTAGGGTGGTTTATTGCTTGATATTTTGAGAAGACAACACATTGTTGAAGACTGCATGTTAACCTCTAGATATCCTTTGGTTGTTCGTGTTGTTGGGTTGTGATCTCTATGACGTATATCCTATATTTCTTTTAAATTGTATTTATAAAAGTATTGCGACGTTTTGTAAATGAAAAAAAAAAGAGATATGGTAGCATTGCCAATGATACAACTATTCACAGACTGTCAAATAGGTTTGCTTCAGCATTAAAACGTTCTTAACTGTCTGCCTCCATCACAAAAGGATATATTCTGGCTTCTCCGCATTATATTAAGTAGGATCTAGATGGGGTTTACAGAACAGAGAATATTGGGCAAAACGTGTAGAATAAAGTGCAAAAAGAGGGAAAAAAGAGAAAAAATGAAAAAAAAAAAAGAATAGAGAATGATAGGGTGATAACATATAATATCTATAATATTATACAGAGAGAATAAAGAAAAATGGACAAAGTTTATAAAACATTAAGAATAAAGAAATAAAGGGCCCCTCATGCAGACTCTTATAAATATTTAATTTTCAATCTTAGCTACAGTTAATTCAAAAGACACAAATCGATTTTTCCTTTGCCAATTAAAGAATGTAAATATCGATGATAATGAAGTCTAGCTCGACTTTACAAGAAAGTTTAGCAGATAAAGATCGGAAATTAAGCATTGTACACTTTTATGGTTAGTGATGATACTATCTCATTGATATGTATACAGTTGAAATCTTAAATTTTCAATCGGTATGAAATCCACCTTCAAGAGGACACTAAATTGAGAAAGAAGCATCAATAGAATAAATTTAAAAGTTTACGTGAAGTTTGCATTAAGTGCGTAAGTATTATACATGAGGGACAGGATGGGGGGGTTCTATATTTCTGTATTCTATAATTTGTTGGGCCATTTTTCTCTATTCTTTATAAATTTTGCCTGTTATTCTCTATTTTTTATATTTTAGTACTCAAGTATTCTGTATTCTTTATATTTTTGATATACTTTTCTCTTTTCTTTATTTAATTTGTCCAGTATTCTGCACTTTTTGTAACCCGAATCATTCGAGAAGTCCCTCCCCGTGATCGACTCTCCCACTCCGTAATGTAGCCATGGTGCAGCGGAATGTAACGACTGAATTATTCGGGTTACACTTTTTGCCCATTATACTCTATTCTGTAATCCCCCATCTAGACCCTCATATATCATTGTCATTTTGCCAATACAATCTATTTAAAAGAAGATACATATTTTACCGAACTTTCTACATAATTATCCTGTCAAATATAAGTTTAATTAGCGACCATTTTATGAGCATATTATATCATCTTGTTCATTCTTTGCCTGAGGGTATAAAGACTTAGTGGTTCCAATTATTCAATTTTTTATAAACAGTAAATTTACAGAAAATGAACATATCAATGCCATTTCATGTCAACACAAAAGTGCTGACCACTGGAATGGTGACAACCTAGGGGACGAAACGTCCACAAACAGTGACAGCGACCCAGTAAACTAGTTTCATTGCTGTCAATTTGCTTGATTTGTTTACTGGCCAATAATTTCAAATTTATGAGGTAATGTAATGGAAAGAAAGTTTTCATCAATATTTTAACACATTCCCGTCCTACTTTTCCCCGAGTGTTACCTACCGAATCATACTTATCACCGGGTTTATACTTAAATTAGCAACACGACGGGTGCCACATGGGGAGCAGGATCTGCTTACCCTTCCGGAGCACCTGAGATCACCCCCAGTTTTTGGTGGGATTCGCGGGATTCGTGTTGTCAGTCTTTAGTTTTTTTATGTAGAATTTTGTATACTGTTGTTTTTCTCTTGGTCTTTTTTTGCCATGGCGTTGTCAGTTTATTTTCGACTTATGAGCTTGAATGTCCCTTTGGTATATTTCGACTCTCTTCTACACTGGATTAAACTCAGCCAATATGCACAAATAGCAGTGTTTTGCATTTGTCTAGATTTTCATTCATTCAAAGGACTAGCGTTGAAACAGTAAAACGGCCTAGAAATACACAAAAAAGGAGAAAAAAAAACTGTATTTTCATGTTTGTGTTGGATTACTGTCTCATCGTGTTGTATGTAACGTCTCCTTTCATACTTTCATAGGTTATAAGATAAAAACATTCAGACGGGTGTTAGATCGTCTGGATGTTATGTGGCATATTTGTAATTACTTCTTTTATTGTATGGTAAACACATATTATATAGAACAATAACAAAAGCATGCAATAATATATCTATTGCAAATAAAACATCAAATTTGTGACGTCATCAGTTACACACACACAAAAATGTTTTAAACAGGTTTCTAAGCTTTGTTATGTATACAATAAAAGGGGGTTATTGCATGCATATGACAATGTTAACAATTATAAACATGTGATACTATGATTACAATGTTACAGATGTCTTAGATAACAAAATATGCCGTTAAGGAAAGAGGAAACGATTATTGAGAGCAAGGGATTCATTCGGTACCAGAAGGGACCAGTATCATTAGAGTCAGAGAGACGGAAAGCTATAATTCTGGTGGAAGAAGTAGAGAGAAATGTCAGCCATTTTAAAAACAAGTGGTTGAAAGACGCAACAGACGACCATGTTGATTCGTGGATTGATCTTATTGCACTCGCGAAAGAGCATGCCGGGATGCCAAAGTGTAAAACTGTTGAAGAGTTTGGACAAGAACTAATTAAAATTCGAAAACATGAAGCCATGTCTGAGAATAAAATATTATTAAATGATATGTTGAAAATTGCCGAAAGAGCTAAAATGTTTGATGAGATGATCCCAGATATTCACAACAAATTACAAAGGGCATTTGAAAGGGTATCAAAGTATTGTCTCAGTTTTTCGTTAGAAGCTGAAAATCAAGACATAAGAGCAATTCAGGATTATGAAAATAATATACTTAAATGGGAAGAGGATATTCCGAAAGGATTGGCAGAAGTTAACAGAAAATACCATGATTACTTGGAAGCAAAGAACATTTCAATGGAAGCTTATATAGAAACATATGGAAATATTCTTCATAACATGACATACACACTTGAATCTCTTCCAAAAATATGTGATCCAATGAGAGACTGGGTGCTCGCTGACGAAACTTATCCAAGAAAAATTATGCAGGAAATTAGAAAAATTGAGAAGAAAAAAGAAGAGGTTTCAGAATCACATCGGAGACAGTTTAACCGGAAGAATGAAGATAGTTCTCGTGTTCAGAGGACGGTTTATAATTCAAAGAAAGTCAAGGACCAGTTACAAAATGCTATGTATGAACGGAAACAATGTCGTAAAAGGGAAATGGCTGTACAAGACAATATTGACATTATCAAAGAAGACATGGATGAAAAAAAGAAAGAGTTAGACGATACTCTTAAGCAATTTAATAACAGAAAATCAAATTCTCCTACAATATTTGACATTTTATCTGCGAAAGTTGATACTTTGCACGACGAAATACAAACATTGGAAAATCAGATGAAAGTTCACAAAAGAAACATGAGTAGAATGAAAGAGGATCGTCTGAGAGTTCAAAAAGACATTCATATATGTAAGAAAGTGCACGAAAAAAGTTTAAAAGATACGCAGAAAGTATATGAAGTACTTGAACGAGAGGAACACAATGCCAAACGTTTGGCAGAACAAGACGCAGTGTTAGCAGCTCGAATCAAAGCTGCTTATCGAATAAGACAGATAAAACTTCATCCTTTGACAGTGAAAAAAATTTACCTCGGCGGATATGTTCCAGGTCAAATGAACGGAGTTACAGGTAGGTTGATTAAATCGCAACAATAAGGTAAGGTGGTTGGATCTAGGAGGCCCATGTGTCTCTTCTCCTTTCTATGGCCTAAAATTAGTGGATTTTTTTAAAACAATCTTCTGAAAATTGTCCGAGTAAGATTATCGGTTGGTCATCCCTTTTGAAAAAAGTAAACTGATTGTGGTTTGCGACACTTGTAATGATCAGTAATACATATGTGTCCATGTTTTATCATAATTAGATCCATATGTATGGAGAGGATAAAGGGACAAGACATTTATTTATTGGTACGTTGATCTTTATATTTTTTTATTTTTTTTTGTTTTGTTGTGTTGTTGGGTTTTTGACTAGTTGACGTATACCCGATATTATTACTCCTGTAGTTGGAAGAGTCATACATCACAAACTATAAGTGTTTGCAGCGACCTCTACAATGTTAATATATGTAATATGGGGATGAGCTAGAAAAAGGCGAGAGTTACCGTTACACGAAAATGCTTTTTATTCATACATGTTTTGTTGAATTCAGAACTTATCCGTACTAATAAGTGAAAAATGAACCAAGATTAAATTGACAGCTTTACACAGTATTATATTACACAAAAATGAATAAAATACTTTAATTGATTAAAAAAAATAATCGTGCTATAATACAGATTTATAATGATTTGAATATTCAACATTGAAATTATTGTAAGGATAACTTCTTTCCAACAAAAAGCGGCCTTCAGTATTTAAAATTTAAAAACCATTTAAGATTTTAAATTGAGTATAATTTAAAATAAATTTGCTTTGACGCAATTTCATGATTTTTTTTACTTGCGAATTATCGAAAAATTGTTATAATCTCTGAATATACTTTCTTTAACAAAAGAACACTTTAGTAGACGAACTAATTATTTGTGATCGTTGTATATAACAGTTGAGAAGAACAGGTTTAAGTAACAAAAAAAAAGAAAACAGTCCTTGAAGAGAGACTTAGCAATAATAAATATTTCAACACATTATCATATTATTTCCATTACCAAAACAAATATTTTCGTTTCACTTTCATCTAGTTTTAATACACTCCATTATGTAGAGTTTAAATTGTAATAAAATATTTACATAAAGAATTTTATTTCTAACAGTAAATAAGATATATACATGATATATATGTATGTGCGTGTTAAAATGGTATTTTCATTTTTTTGTCAGGTTGAATTATATATTTTTTGGACAATTACCAAGTTTGTTATTTATATAACAAATAACTATCTATAGATGTATCATATGAAGGTGTTATCTTTACCCCCAGTTGTTAAATGTTACCCGAATAAGAAACAAATAAAGAATGTTACCTGTTACACCTGTAAATAAACATTTTAAATTTTACGATCTAAGTTTATAAAGAAATATTTTCGAGCTTTTGATTTTGCCATCTGATAAGGGACTTTGAATTTTCCTTGGAGTTCGGTATTTTTGTTATTTTACTTTTTTCGACGACATAATATTGGTATGAAATTTTTCGGAATGTGTTTCTTCTGTATTTTCTTTTAATTCACTTGTATCTGTGTGAACGTGTTCCAACATTTGTTTAAGAATTGAATGCCTCTTTTTGCTATTTTATTTGAGTGTAAAAGGGTTGACCGAAGCACATCTTTTATGAAACGCGGAAGTACTTCGTACTAAAATTTTAACATGAACCTTATAAAATTACAACAAGAAGCATTCAGTTCCTATAAGAACATTAATATGATACAACTATGAAATTACGAGTTATATCAAGATTGTCATTTGGTTTCCTACACATTGTAGTGATGTTGTCACGAGAAGCACGTGCAGTCACGAATGTGGAAATTTATCGAGAAATACAATCTGATTTTGGAATGACTCACGATTGCTTTCAGCCAATCAAAAGTACGGATTCTTATGAATCATACATGTATATAATTATATATAGTGATCATGTTTGACTTCTCGTGAACGTACATTCAACAGACTTTTTGTATTTTTCGTTTGAATTGTTTTAAATTTGTAATATCGGGGTCTTTGGATGGTTGTTTCATTTGCAATCATACCTCATCTCCTTATTTGTATTAAATATTGCATGTACATCGCGGTTTTTTCATATATTGTTAACCTTCTGTTGTGTTTCGGTTTTTTCCTATTGTCAACTTTCTGTTACTTAGCTGATTGTTGTTGTCATTCATGATCTGTCTGTTATTGTATCGCTATCTCCCTTGAAACGTTGCTCCAAAGTAGGTGTTTTGTATCCAATTTTTGTGTGGAAGGTTAACTTGATTTAAAATAGTTAAGGTACTTAAAAATTGTTTTGAAATGGTAGAGTGAAAATGATAAATTATCAAAATGATACGAAAATTGCAATTCTCATGGGTGAACCGAACGGAGCAGCACCTTTTATTACCTTCAAATCCCAAGAGCCCCATTCTACGTTAAGAAGACTTTAGTGCTAATAAACATGTAAATAAATCTAATATCAACAGCAATAACTGTCCTTTCCTAGATTAAGATATTTCAGTCTTACACCAGAAACTCTACTCAAAAATTTAAGACAAAAGGGATGATTTTTCTTTCCCTATTGTTAATTTTCCCTTTTGGACGACGGTGATGTTCCTTTGGCACCGTCTTACGGTGTTTATATATCCCAACTCGCTCGCTATGCTCGTGTCTGTAGTGAATGAGCGTAATATATGTATGACTATTAAATTATTCAGTCAGGGACTTCGTTACCACAAATTACTTAAAACCTTTATTAAATTCTTTCATAGATACAAAGATTTGGTCTGCAATTTTGGCTGTACCTGTAGAAAACTTATTTCAAACGGAATAGCACATCCTAAATTTTACGGTGATGTTGTAAACCGAGCCCGGAAATATAGATTCGATCCGAGTAAACTTATCAATCCTTTAAATAAACTTATTCTAAAAGGTTATCTATTCAACACTGTAATTAACTCTTTGAATATTGTTTTAATTGGCATAAATATTGATTTTGTTATCAGTAAATTAAAACCATTAAATATTACACATATGTACTCTCACGGTACTGCAATCTGTCGATACTTATAGTTTGGCATTGCACAAGGTCATGTTTTTCTCTGACTGTTAATGACGTCTTTACACTAAATCCATTGGATGTTGGATGTGTACTGATTGATATTTTAGTCTTAGATACATGATTTTTTTTATTAGTTGTTTGTTATTGGCTTTGAAAAGGCTGTCAGTAACTGCGAGTACTCTCAGATCTGTACTTAGTGTCTTTTCGTTTTTGGGATGTATAAGTACCCGTCCACGTCCACTCTGTGTTTTTGTTAAATGTATTTCTATTTGTATCCATCTGATGAGTTAAGCCTTTTTCAACTGATTTTTATAGTTTGTTCTTATGTTGTACTGTTACACCACTGTCCCAGGTTAAGGGGAGGGTTGAGCGCTCACAAACATGTTTAAACCCGCCAGATTCTGTATGCGCCTGTCCCAAGTCAGGAGCCTGTAGTTCAGTAGTTGTCGTTGGTTCATGTCTGTCATATTTGTTTTTCGTAAATTGGTTTGTTATAAATTATAGACTGTTAGTTTTCTCAATTGAATTGTTTCATATTTTTCATGTCGGGGCCTTTTATAGTCGACCATACGGTATGGGTTTTTCTCATTGTTGAAGGCCGTACGGTTGCCTATAATTGCTTACATCAACTTCATTTGAACTTTGGTGGATAGTTGTCTCATTGGCAATCATACCACATATTTGTTTTATATGTGGTCTAGCTTTCGATTTATTATTTGTAAATTCTTATTTGCTCTGTTTACATACAAGTTTGGTAAGTTGCATATATATATACAAACAAACGTATGGATAGGCCTATCTCGTTTAACCTGCTTACACTTAAATTGTCTGTTATTCATTAACCATAGGCCGATCGGAATTAAAATGGTCTCGAAATCGAATGGACGAAACAAGCTCTAATGGCTTTATTTAAAACATAAACGTATTGTGTCTTTTAATGACCCTATACGTTTTTTTCTGGAATAACAGCTATTAAGAATGCCAGAGAAACAAAATTGTAATAAAAAAAACGATTTAAAGCACCAAACGCGTAAGTGTATTTTTTTTTTAAATTAAGCAATCTTTATAAATATAGCCTAAGAATGACGATATGCTTAACATGGAGCTGAACAACCATCATTGTTTGCACACTAACCTACTAGCTATTACGCGACAATTGAATCAATACTCGGTATAGAAAGTTATTCATACATTCATTAAACTTTGTTGATATAAATACTGTATACAGATGGTTCCTAGCTGGTGTACTGTTTGTATTGTTATAAAGCAAATAAAATTCTGATAAGCGCAAACGGAGAAGACAAACATACTTGTCATATAATATTCTAATTATTATGTAATTAAGGTTTGAATAGCTGAGGGAATTAGATAATTAAATGAATGCTTCGTTTTGTAATTGTATTGTGGTGTAAAAGCGTTGACCAAAGCGTTTTCACGTTCACTGTATTTACAATCCTATATGATTTTACAAAAGAGAAGCATTCGATTCATATAATTACATTTTTATGCTACAACCATGAAATGACGGGTTAAATCGAAACTTTCGTTTTTATACCCCCGCTTTAAAAAAGTTGGGGTATACTGTTTTACCTCTGTCTGTCCTTCCGTCAGTCCATCCATCCATCAGTCCATCCGTCAGTCCGTCTGTCCCATGAATATTTTCGTCGCATTTTTCTCAGGAGGTACTTGACAAGGATTTCTGAAATTTGGTTTCAGGGTTTATATAGGTAAGTTACACCGTGTGATGCGTTTTCAGATTCATCACTCAACAACTTCCTGTTTACCGAACACTTGTATTACTAGTACTAGTATTTTACACATGATAGCCAAGTTGAAAATTTTCGTCACATTTTTCCCAGGAACTACTTGACAAGGATTTCTGAAATTTGGTTTCAGGGTTTATATAAGTCAGCTATACCGTATGATGCGTTTTCAGATTCATCACTCAACAACTTCCTGTTTACCGAAATATTTCGGCGGGGGTATCATCAGTGAGCAGTAGCTCACAGTTTTACTTAATTTCTATGCACTGTTTTAGCTTTGTCACGGATAGCACGTGCAGTAGTTGACGTTGCATTTTATACGGAAATAAAGTATAATTTTTTGAATGCTTCGGCCAATCAAAACTACAGAATCGTAAGAAACTTCTATGTAATCTTATTATTTAAGAACTAGATGATCGGAGAGAATGCTTCGGCCAATCAAAACTACGGAATCGTAAGAAACTTCTATGTAATCTTATCATTTAAGTGCAAGATGATCGGAGATGATTGATATTATCACATGTCAGAATGATTTTCTTTATAAGATAATAGACGAATAAATTTACCTTTTTTACGAAATTGCCTAAAAAAGGCCGTACTAGTACTTACTGATAATAGTTTCAAAACTATTCACTGGGTATGAACTATTTACTGGAAGCAAACCTTTTCGCGTAGAAAGACTATTAACCGTAATAGTGTCAAAAACTGTTCGCTTTATATGAACTATTTACTGAAAGCAAACCTTTTCGCGCAAAAAGACTATAATATATCGTAAAAGTGTCAAAAACTTTTTTCTGTATATGAACTATTTACTGGAAGCAAATATTTTCCCGTACCTTCTGTATCGTTTGAATTGACTCGTCCCTCGAGACTTCCGAATCACATTGGATTGTTTATACTGCAAATGTGCTATTTGCGCTCTGAAATTGCATTGACTGTTTATACATTTATGATATACAGTCACTGACTGTAAATCGACTTGTTTATGGCGTTAACAATTCTTTTCCGTAGTTTTATTTATGACGTCAATAAAGAATACAGGTTCACTGAATTTTTACTTCGTCTGCTTCAAATTAAAAAAATGATGGTTTACCCAAAATATTTCTTTTGGAACAGTTGTAAGAGTTGCAGTATATAGAGAAAAACCACACATTGTCCCGAAATATACCCTAGTTTCCTTCTGTACTTAATAAAACACTTATTTACTGACTTCCGAACAATAGAAAGTTTATTACCCCCCTTAACACCAATTATTGCTTCTTTTTGGGAAATAGTTGGTGTCTCGGGGGACAATAAACTTGCTTTTGTCTTCATAGCCAGTAAATAAGTGTATACTACATGCCGACTAAAGGCAAAAGAAGTCAATACAATACTGGCATTATTTTCATTATTTATTTTTGTTAATTAGTTTGAAAATGATATTTGTAATAACATTATAGATGTACCTTCCTCGGAAAAAAATGAAATAAGATAATATTAGTTATTTTAACAAGAACGAGGGGAGAGGAGCAGTAAAATCTTTTGGGCTTTGTGAAGCGCAAAAATTAAAATACTATACCACTTCTTATCCACAACAAAATCGAATTCTCATAAAAATTGTAAATAAATGTACAGAAAACTAAAAAAAGATTATGTTGGAAATTTAGGGCATGTTTGTTTTTTCCTTGAAATACACTTCTTTTATTCCAAATTTATTCGAAAAAATATATGGGTTTCCGAAAGCAGGTGGAAAAAAATCAGTTTCTATAGAATATGAGTAGAAAAAAAATAAATCTGCATTGATTTAAAAATGTTCCTGCATGTATATTTAAAAAACAGGTTTTTCGATTGAAATTGAAATAAAACGTTTGTCCCGAGAGAAAAAAAAACAACAATGCCTCCCAAATAACCAAGATGAATGACTGGTGCCTGATCAGAAAATCTAGTAATTGTAGTCAAAAGTACACAACACAAAATGTCACGATCTATATGTATCAACTGAAAATAATATCTAAAAGTAACTAATGACATTAACGGTACCAAGTGTACTACACCAGCTACGACAGTTTATGTTTCTTCAGTGATACTAGAGACCAAACTATTTGAAAATCTATCTCTTATTCATAAATTGAAGAGCTGATAAAACCAAAAAGGACAAAAAGTATAGCCAAAGTCGGGGTATCTTGACCATATGTTCATTGTTGTTAGTTCATCATGTTTTTCTGAGGAGTCAGATGTTAGTTGTTAGTGTGATTTGTTGTATTGATCAATATGTTTGGTTATTCCCGTCATCTTTTTATAATATTAAGAAAAAAACGCCCAAGGAAATTTCCCTTTTAAACATACTTGAAAGCTACTAAAAGAGGGGCGAAAGATACCATAGGAACATTCAAACTCATAAGTTGAAAATAAACTGACAACGTCATGGCAAAAATAGAAAAAGATAAACAGACAAACAATAGTACACAAAACACAACATAGAAAACTAAAGACTGAGCAACACGATCCCCACCAAAAAGTGGGGGTGATCTCAGGTGCTCCGGACGGGTAAGCTGATCCTGCTCCACATGTGGCACCCGTCGTATTACTCATGGTAGTACAAACCTAGTGATAAGTCTAATTGATACTACGTGACACATTTTCATCACATAGTTTAGAATGTCACATTCATCAATCCAAAATGGCGACCCAAGACATGTCAATCTTAGATTTGACTATAATTTTAGCCAATGAAACAAAGTTGTTACATAAAAATTGCATTAGAATAGAATATCACATTCAAGTTATTTTCAAAACATAATTGACCCAACCATAACATTGTTTGATTGCAGATCATTTGTCTGAAGCCCTAAGGGTAACTGCAGCAGAAGTGGGTAAAAATTGGACGACACTCTACCGGAAGTTGCCATTTAATCCACCACGTGACAAGTCAAATCGTGACTATGACATTGAAGGTAATGGTTTGTAGAGGGAAATATAAATCTTTGCTTGAAAAATTGTTTGTCTTTTGAAATATCTTTCATATTTTTATTTTAGTTTATTGATATAACAAAAGACATATATGCAGTGTCATATATCAAGTAACGATATAGGTTTTTCTTCACATTGATATCGTACAATATTATTCGCAATTGAGTCCCAATGTGAAACTTTTTTGGCGAGTCAGCATACTTACTGTTGTCATGTGTTTGCAAAATTTATAAGATTTGTTGTAATTCCAGTGGTAAACCTTGTTGGTACTTCGATGATAATTTCTCATCTATAAGATAAGTATAATCTACTCTAACGTTATACAATTCTATAATACGATATTTACAGAACAAATGAGCAAGTTGATATGGACCTATAGAAGTACGGCAGTACCGGATATTGGCATATCCAATAAAAAACAATATTATATGTTGAAATGTACATTGTAATCTGGCTTTAATTATCCAAAGTGTATAAATTGCTACATCTTTTGATTTGTTTATAGTAAATTATAGCTAGTAAATAAATTCATCTTCCCGCTCACAAAATACCTCTATGAAGAGGAGTAAAGAGAGTAAAATAAATTTACTGATAAATAAAAAAAATAAAATTGAGAATGGAAAGGGGGAATATGTCAAAGAGACAACAACCCGACCAAAGAGCACACAACAGCCGAAGTATTATGCATACTTGTAGATTTTAAATTTTGAGTTTTGTTTTATTTTCAGCAATTGACTGGACCCGATCAACAAACACAGAGTACAAAGACCTAGCCTACAAAGGCCTTGAGAAATGGAGAAAACTTAGCAACAAAGCCTCTACTAACGCTCTTATCAGGACTTTAAATAGTATGCAAAAACAGTCAATAGCTCAACAGCTACAACGAACTGTCATTATAACATGACAAAAAGGCATTAGTTCTATGTTAACACGATGTGCTTTATTATACTATATATTTCTAATCACTGTTCAGCTACTTAAAATAGCTTGACCTATTGCTTTAACCCCTGTTTTACATTTGTACTTGAAAATACCAGGCGTCTTTCATATATAGACATGCATCCGATTTCTCGACTAAATACTATGTATTATATGCTATTAACCATATATCAACATTTATATTAAATAAAGTTGTGTTTATGCGTAACTCACTTGATTTGTCATTAATTGTATGTGCGTATTACGAAAGTACAGAAAACTACTCGATACATATTTCCATTTAAAATACGTACAAAGTCATTCTATCAATATATTTATTTTTCTTAGCCATATTCCCGCCCTCTTTTCCTCGTTTTTGACTCTTGTCGAATGCGACTTACCGCAAGATATTTATGAAATGAGCAAGTCGACTGGTACCATAAGATAAGTAGGAACAAATTGTTGATAGATGCTAACAACATAATTTGAACTTACTTTACATTATACAATAAAAGCAAATCATCGATAAAGTGGATTTGGAAGTTAAATGGTACGTAGTACTAGATTCGTTTTCATTCTTCTTTTAAAATACTTACTTGTAAAATGGTTTAAACTTCAAACTAAATTTAGTAATACATATTATATAAATAACACATAGCTGAGCGGGTGATAGAGCAGATTGTTACCCCGAGAAAACATTGTCAACTGAGGCGAAGCCAAGGTTGACAATGTCTTTTCGAGGGGTAACAATCTGCTCTATCACCGTCTCAGATATGTGTTATTTAATTTATTATACTGAATATTCTATTATTACTGTCTATTAAATTTTAAATTCAAAGTAATAAACTATGACGTCTTGTGCATAACAATCATCCGTATCTATTAAAGCGCACACTTGAGCAAGCGTCTCCGTGAAGGGTAATAGAGTATTTGCCATGGGATAGAGTAAATTGTCTCCCTCGTATTAACCAATCAAACTCTGGCATTTTGACATGAAGTATAATAAATATATTTATTTTTTTGTAACTGTGTGTTATTTTCCGTCTATAAAACGAAGTAGTTGCTAACTTCTAGGTCGTTTTGACTCTGGTGGAGAGTTGTCTCATTGGCATTCACACTGTTCATATAGATCACTAGATTTAGAGAATATGTATCACAGTAGGGATTGTTTGGGATCGTCTATTTTGGCTTGTCGACTGAAAACGAGTTTTTTCCCGATTGAATTAACATGCAATCAAATCGATGTACTTTTATTAAGAAAATATATGTTTTATTCATGATTGTCTAATGATATAATAAGATTTTAGCACTAACGTTGCATAATTTGATTCTATTTCACTTCAATTTCATTTTTACATGGTTAAGTTTTTTTTCGAGTACTAGAGTTGAAATGTTCGTTGTTTATTATTTCAAAACTGGTCCGGGGTTTGCAAAGAAAATATGAACACGAAAGAAAGCATTCGGTGCTTCAAAATAACTTTGTTAATTTCTGTTCTGAAACGTTTTACCCTAAAATCACTAGAATTACTGGATCATTTAAAATTTTAAGCAACATTATTTTACCGATTATCAAATCTCGTAAATCGTTTCACAAAATACAAAAAAAGGTTACAAACAAAAACTCAAAGAGAAGCGATACCGGGTCTCCTGCTGTGCATGCATCGCCGCTATGAGAATCCACAGTCAGTCAAAATGTCACAATTGGGAATAGAAAACAAACGAAAATATTCCGATTTCACACGGGCCTGTTGGTATCTAAAGATATAAGACCACGATAGCATGTCGCAAGTTAAGAAGCAGACACATCGTATCTGTCAAACAATTGATAATGATGACCGTAAGTCTTATTTAGTGTCGATGTTAGTACTCGATGTGAGCAGTTTTTGTGTAAGGAGCTCAAACGAATTAAATGGTCACTAGATTTAAGTGCAGGAAACTCGTAAATGTGTTCCATATTATTTCATGCTTGTTTGTTTTGACGCAAACACATATATCTATTCAAGTAATTCTTATATATGGTTGGTTGATTTTTGTCTGTAATACATTATGCTTGTTGTATATTATTTCATTTTGGCGCAAAATTGACGTTTAATGTCAATGCTGTTTTAATTGAATTAAGTTAGTATACACAATATAATAGATAACACATACGCTTTCATGAAATCCCTTAAAAATAACAAAAATACAATATATATATAGATATGCTTACACCACGAGCACATGTTTGATGTGGTAAATGTTCTCCGTCAAGTGCCATAGTAATACATACAAGAGTACACCATTCTATTCGGTGAAAAGGATAGAATTCATTTATTTTGGACCAAGAGGAAAGTATTCATAACATATAAAAAATATTGTTAATCTTATTGTATATCAAAACTATAAACACTATATCATCGCATTCATAGAAAATGGTAATTTACGTCCTATATAATGTTGTCTGTTTCTATTCGGCAGTCTTTAAGGTTACGATTTAGAAAAAAATTTTAAATTCTCTTTGTTATAAGTATTAATAAAAACAGAATGTTGAAATAATATTTCGCCAAAAACAGTCACTTTAGCCCAAATTTGTCCAAATTAGCTCAAAAACATCGCTGATGTGTTTTTAACTTGCAGGTCAATAATTTAACCTGATTGGATCCGTAGGCATGTGACCTTCAATTCAACCCCTTAGCTAGAGATGGATTACGCATGTACTAGGCGTGTTCAGCTATTGAAATGAAAAGAATGTCAACATTGAAAATGAAATAAGGAAGACCCATTTGGTTGATTGATTCGATAAAAAAATAATCAGTCTTATACAAGTAAAAAGATGATTAACATATATAACCTATAATATGAAATTAAACAGACCTAGAAAAATCCAATTGGACGTGCTCGCTATCTATTTCTATTTATGTTCATATCAGGTTATACATTATTGAATGACCGTCGACAGTATTTGGTGGTTTTATGATGTTAAATTAGACTAGACCATTTTTGACTATTGTCTTAAAAACAATAAAAGAAAGAGAGAATCTTTAAAATGCAAAAATAAAAATCATTGGTCGACTTCTTAGAAGAGTTCTTCCCCTTAATGGCGATTGTTGCCATTTTTGCGTGTTTGTTTATAATCTTAAAAAACTTTAATAGCTATAAAGAAATTTAAAGCAAACAGTGATCAGCTAGACAAGATCTTCAGATTTGTTAACAATGTCAAAAACGTTGATTGACTCCTTGTATAAGTAATTGCCCATAAACGGCATTGTTTACCGATTGTGTTTTTGCATTTCTGGTCAAAATATAGTAGATAAGGAAATTCTGTAACAGCAAAAAATGATTAAGATGACAAGATCTACAAATTTGTCAGCAAAGCAGTAGTTGTTGGTCGACTATCAGACTTGGTTATTGCCCTTTAAAGATATTGTTTAACCATTTGTTTGCATTTAAGCCAACAGAAATAGCTGTAGATAAAGAAAACTGTAAACAACGAAAACGATTACTCAGACACTATCTGCAAATATATCAAAATGGCCGAAATTGTATGTCGACTCCTGAAAGGAGTTGTTACCCTTGCATTATGATTTCTACCCATATTTGCATTTTGACGATAACTATAGTAGATAAAAACTGTAAATTACACAAATGATGACCGAAACACGATCTTCAATTAAGACAAAATTACCTAAATTGTCAGTTGATTACTTATAGGAGTTATTGTCCTTAAACGACGATTTCAACCTTTTGTTTGTGTTGGTCAGAAACTATTGAAGATAAAGAGAAACTGTCAACCAAGCCGAAATTGGATCTCCACTTCTTATGGAAGGTATTGTCCTTGGATGACGATGATTATACCCATTCTTATGTATTCAGGGCAACAAATATGGTAGATAGAGGGAAACTGAAAACAAAAACAAAAAATAACAGCAATACAAGGTCAACAAAAATGGGATTTTAGTCATACATTATTTTATAGTCTTCAATGTTGATAATGAGCATAGACCCAGGTGTGCGACACAGGCTCTTGAGAGCGTCTAGTTTTTCTAGTTTTACATAATTTTCTTTTTCTTTATATACAGTTTTATCATCTCCGCTTCCTGTATGTTTCATTTCATCTGCTTTTTCTCATTCATTAGTCCACCATGGGTCACTTTGTTTGTTAGAGTCATGAAACGATTAATTGTCTTATAATGTATAATAGTTGTTGAAATTTAACAGATATTTTATGAACTTTCTACTTTAAAATTCATATTCCCACCATGACGTCAATAAATTTTAAGTGAGATGATACTGCTTGATGTCTGGCGTAGTTTTGTGTTAGAAGTTTAACTTGAGATTCAAAATATTAGATGCATATATATCTGAAAATACAAGAATTGAATACAGTCACATTTTTTATTTATTTATACGAAATGAAAGCAAGGGACGATCACTTGCTTTCAATTTGTTTTGATTAAACCTAACAGCATTTAATTCTAATATGAAGCAATATTGAGTAGTGTGAACTACATATCCTATTGGTAATTTGAATCATATGTGGATACCAAAAAATACAAAAGATATGTTATAGCAAACAATCTAAATTTCTTTCTATTGCAACAGATCGTCGAATGATACCAAAAGGACATTCAAATTCATAAGTCGAAAATTAACTGACAACGCCATGGCAAAAAACAAAAAAGACAAAAAGACAAACAACAGTATACAACACACAACATATAAAACTAACACAAACCCCACCCAAAATCGGGGGTAACCTCAAGTGCGCTGGAAGGGTAAGCAGACCCTGCTCCACATGTGGCACCCGTTATGTTGCTCATGTAAGTATAAACCCGGGAATAAGTCAAATTTCGATAAGTAACATTCGGGAGGACGGGATTGTATTTAAGACGATTGGAACATATCCGTCGTCATCTGTGAAACAGATTATCCATAATGGTCAAAAGTTAAATCACAAAAATACTGAACTAAGGGGAAAATTCAAAACGGAAAGTCCCTAATCAAATGGCAAAATCAAAAGCACAAACACATCAAACGAATGGACAACAACTGTCATATTCCTGACTTGGTACAGGCATTTTCTTATATAGAAAATGGTTGATTGAACCTGTTTTTATAGCGCTAAACCTCTCACTTGTACGACAGTCGCATCAAATTCCATTATATTGACAACGATGCGTGAACATAATGTCACAAATAGGGGTACAACAACAACACGAACCCCACCAAAAACTGTGGTTGATTTCAGGTGCTCTTGAAGGATAAGCAGATCCTGCTCCACATGTGGCACCAGTCGTGTTCATATTATTACAAAGCCGGTAAATAGTCTAATTCGGTAGGTCACATTCGTTGAAAGGGAACGGGATTGTAGTTACGACATAAGGAACATATCCGATATCATCTGAATAACGGATATTCCATAACGGTCAACTAGCTCGTGATTGCGTTCGTAAAATTTACGAAGTGATGAATTCAACTTCACCATTTGGAACTTTTGGTTTAAAAACGAAAAGGTCACAATTGGGAAGCTGAAATCATCTCTTTTGTCGTAAAGTTTTGTTTAAACCGACCCTCATAGTCAATTTCTATATATAAGTACTAATCAAATGGCAAAATCAAAAGCTCAAACACATCAAACGGGTGGATTACAACTGTCATATTCCTGACTTGGTACAGGCATTTTCTCATGTAGAAAATGGTGGATTGAACCTGGTTTTATAGCGCTAAACCTATCACTTGTATGACAGTCGCATCAAATTCCATTATATTGACAACGATGCGTGAATAAAACAAACAGCCATAATAGGTTAAAAAATTTAAAAAAGGGGTACATCAGTCAACACCGTGTCACAATCTTAATCACAACAAAAACAAACAAATATTTAACAAAGAAGCACAAAAAAGCATATATCACATTTAACAACCTCATTCATTGCTTACTTATTTTTGTATTTTATTTAGGTATGCCAAATCAACCCATAAAGGATCGAGGGATTTTAAGCACTGAGACCGAATCGTAATTTTAACATTAACTTTGGCGTAGAATC